AACGCTTCTAGATACATTTGCAAAGCTGTCACTGCCAGCTACAGTTCAGAAGCTATTAACTAATTTATAACCTTAAAGGCTAAAATAGCAGCCTGCAAAATAAAAATAAAAAATCAGCCAATTTAGGGTTAACAATGCAAAAACGGGGGGGGGGGGGATCCTTTTCAAATTGTTGAGTCTAAAGAAAAGTGAAGTTCTATCAAGAAATGACCAAATTAACTACTATGTGGAGAGGATGCTACTAACTAAAAAAGTAATAATAAAATCTGTTACAGTAGAAGAGCAGCAGTTTAGAAGTAAATAAATTTAGTTAGAGGTGAACATATATATATAAATATATATTTAAAAGAAAGCGTTCATCTTAAAAGTGTTCTCCTCCTCAGGTTCAGTCCCTCCTGTTGTGGAAAACACTGTATCCCAGGTCCAACACTGCTCCACCCAGCAGCAGCCAAAGCGGGACACAGATCACACTGACCCAGGTCTCAGTCATCTTCTCAAGCCTGGAGCACAGAGTCAGACAGAAAGCCTTCTTGAGGAGCAGAGCCGCCAGGTACCACAGTCTCCTCTTTACGCTCTTCTCCTCATTCCTAGGGTCGAAGTCCGGTTTGCAGCGACCTGCCATCTCCATGATCTGTATGAGGATCAGGATGGTGTCAAAGGTCCAGACAGGGAGGAAGATCAAATACCAGCTCCAGTTGAGTTTGGAGTCCAGCTTGAGGACAAGCATAATGAGGAAGATCAGGGCGAAGATCCAAGAGAGAAAGACTCGTTGAGCCAGGGACATCTTCATCTAGGACGGCGGCGAGGAGCCAGTTTGATCCGCAGAATGAGGCTGAAATGCCGCTGAAGTGAGCAGCAAAGGAGACGTAGTGATTCGGCAGCAAGACAACCGCTCTCTGTCTGAAAGAAACGGTAAAAATTTGATGGGGAAAAAAGTCAGCACCGGGTAAACATCCAGCTACTGTTACCTTCTCAACACTAGGCTATTCCACCAAAACAATAGTTTAGGAAGATGTTTTACCGAGTTTACCGGGAGTGTCGGTTTGTTTCCTTATAAATGCGGGTTTAAAGATGAAATAGTTATCGAGGAAACATTTCGACACATTTAAATTCGACTTTTTTAACACGAAAATAACCACGTAGAATGCTTTAGCCTCAAGCTAATTCCTACCAAAATGCACTTCCGGTTTGTTGATTTAAAAATGGGCGTGTTTTTTAACAGCTTCCGGTCTGCTTTCAAAATAAATGCGTCGTTTCATTTTTTTTTTCAGATAGCAAAATTTGTCATAAGCAAAATGGTTTAAACAAAAACATGAACCTATAACACACAATTGAAATTAAAATATCTACTTTTACACTCGCTTCATTTCTATTGAAGCCCATTTGAAAGTAAAAAAAGGGACACGGTATCTCATAATCATACGATTTAAAGTCGTAATACTTTTAAAGGTATAATTCGAAATTTATATCAATATCTTCAATCTTACATTTATTCACTCAATTTTAACGATAGACAACGCCAAAGAGAATCCCAGCTAGTTGTTGTAATTTATCCATACTGTGTTCCTTACAAAAAAAGGGAGTATATAAAGTTTTGAGTAATCCACAATAATCTATTTATACAAAAAAAAAAATCAAATTCATAGAGTACATTCTTTTAGATATCACTCAAATTTATTTATTCTTATGGGGCCAGTATAACAAATTCATACAAAGTACAATTCTGGAGACATCATAGATTGTCCAAAAAGTAAAGTACAAAATGCTTTGAGGTAAAACATCATTTAAAAAGATTAATTTAAAAAGCTCTTATTTAAAAAAGCAATTCCTTTTAGGACAAATGTTCACTATACAAGATCTACCTTTTCTGAAGAAAAAAAACAACATACTTTTTTTTATTTACATGTTAGTGGTGGTGCAAATTACAGTGTGAGACAACATTCAGTTGAAAATGTTTCCATCTCTGTCAAATGTAAACAAACACTGTCATATTCCCTCGAACCACAAAGCCCATGCATTAAAAGTAACACAATCGCAAGATTATTTTGCAGCTGTGAGAGCTGCTAGAAAGCGAGAGAACCTCTGAACCTCCAAGCAGCACACGAAGGAGCGAAGACAGATTATAGAACAGTTTTTCTCAGAGTACATTAATGCAAAACAACCTGTAACATAAAAAAATGGATTAATGTGTACAATTTGCAGCTTTTTAAAGAATAACAACCGCAGAGGCAAAAAAAAAAAAAAACGTAGAAAATACTTTAGAGAAATTAATTACATTAATATTTATTTCCCTGCTGTGAATTAACCCTATGAAACAACAAAAATAGAAAGAAAGAAAAACAGTGTCATTTCATCTCATAATACTTAAACCTCCCAAATCTATTCCTATTAAGGATATTCTAGGTGTGTCTCACTGATATGTAGTTACATTGATAAATTCAATCTTAAGACATTCTCATTCATTTTCAGTTGTAAACAACATGCACTACTCATTGTTTGCTGGGGATTCATTTTCTGAAACTCTGTCTCAGCGCAGACTAAAATTAATAGTGCAACTGGAGCTTTTTGACATGAAGAACTCTGAGAAATTAAGGTTCAGTCTCAGAAACGGCTTCTGAGTAAATTAGAAATGTCATTAAAAAAAAAAACTAAGCAGTCACTTTAAAAAGTGAAGCTGTAGTTTATTCCATTTCATTTGATTTATCTCATCATATAACTAATAAAAAAAAAATCAATTTCTCTAAAAAAAATAAATAAACAACAGACAATCCCGTTGGGTGAAGAGGTTAAAGTATTTGACTTTACTTTGAGCAACCAAGGTCAGAATCTCAGATGCATCAGGAAGGGCATCAAGCGTAAAAACTCTGTCACGTATGAGAGCAAATTGTAAAGACTTTCTGTAGTGACCCCAGGACAAGGGAGCAGCTGAAATGACTCATTAGTTTCTCTAAAAAAAGAGAATATTAAGTGAATAAAAATGGATGTTTATCTAATTGTCACACTATGGCCTACACAATTAAGCGGAAGACTTTCTAAATGGCAGTAATACAGTTAACTTTCATTGACACCTTCAAATAGAAAAGTAATCATCAAAAACGTATTGCCAAAAAAAATCAAAACTGGTTAGTTAGAGAAAGATATATCCAAGCATGTCAGAATCAGGGCTACTGAGTGTCTGTGGAAAGTTAGGTGGAAGGAAAACCTGCAGTTAAAGAAAATGATCCACAACAGCTTTTACCACAGCTTTAAGATTTTTGTGAAGAAAACTACATTAAAAAGGCTCAAGTGAATTTTAAGGGCTGTGATCTGATGCTGCAGGCAGCTTTTTTATAAAGCTTTGCAGAGACGTATCTAGAACATGAGCAGTAACTTTTGCATTCGGCCACTTTTGAACCACTGTTTAAAGGCATTGTTATGATCTACACAACCGGGAGGAAGACAACAGACAGATGGAGCTTTTTTTTTTTATCACGGCTTTCCTTTCACTTAACCCTCTGTCCACATGAGGGTATATGGCAATTAGGGAAGTTTTACCATCAAATGACCTTTTGTGGCTTACTCTCATTGTGGAAGGTGTCAGTAACTAACATGATCTCTTTTCAGTCTATTTGTGCGCATTTCTTTTCTTATAAACTTAATTTTATAAGCTGCAAGCCATGGTCATTAAAATAACTGAAACAAAGACATCCCTCCTTGTATAATGGATCTATTTAACATAAAAGTTTCATATTTTAAGATAAATAACTGAAATAAATTAACTATCAATAATTTTTTTCCAAGTTATTTAGATGCAGTTGTATATTTGTTGACTGCATCATCTTGTTAAAATGTTGGACTTTTTTAAAATAGTGAACATTTTTTGTTGTTTTGGATTAACACCTCTTTAGTCATCGGTACCGCTTCATGTCAACCCGGACATGTATGATCATTTTGCTTTCCTTAGCTGCTTTAAGTTTCACAGAAGAATTGAAATAATATTTTCCACATATGAAGAAAGTTTTTGAAAATGTCAGTATAAAAGAAAAAAAACGGAAAATGTACCTTTTTGCTGAAATGTATTCATATCTTTTTTCCCCTCCAAATTCTACCAGAATTTTCCACACACTCACTCGCTGTGGGTCCCTTACATAGACCCCAGCTACACAGTGCTCTGCCTGCTCTCACACGTAAGGCTGTTTCTGCCAGAAGAGTGGGAAGGGAAATCAATAAATATCCCGTCTGAGTCTGAGCCGGCAGACTCCGGAACTTGTCCGATTATAGTTTCAGGACTGGACGTTTCGCTGGGTGGCGAGGAGGAAGCCCCCCTACTGAGATCAGTCACTGTTGTGGTGGCCTCTGTGCCGTGGAGCGCTCCTGAGGAATGAAGGATGGAAGGAGACGACAGAGCCAAGTCCATGGCACCGGCTCCTGCTTGTACAATCCCTAAGAGTGAAAGAGCATTCTTGTTTTCTTTTACAGATTCTGGTTTTATACTGTGAGTGAGACTAAAAGAAAAATAAATTCCTACCATTAATCTGAGTGCCCACACAGAGTCTGTTGGAGGAGGGACCAGACAGCTCTGATCCTGGAGCCAGGTCAGAGTAGGTCAGCCCCTGTTCCTCCAGGCACGATATGATCTCACAAGCCGAGTGGCGACGAATCCCTCCGCTCCCGACCGAGCTCGCATCTGGGTCGTACTCAGCCACCGGCGTCAGCAGCAGGGGGATGTTGTAGCTTTTGGATCGTACCACTGGGTTTTTGGATGGTTGGTCTGCAGACTTGGGCCAGCCCCATGGCACACGCTTGTCTGGACAACATGAAAAAAGAGCTTCAGTTAAACTCCATCTCTCCTTTCACTAGGCAGGTCATCATTATCGTTTGCTTCTGACGAACCAAACACGCAGCAGTGGTCGTCGTCCTCTTCTCCAGAGTAAAGACCATGGGTGCCCAGGTAGGGTGAGACCACTTTCTGCACCAGAGACTCCAGCCTTAAATAGTCCTCATTAACACCCCGTGACTCATGGACGCCCTTTAACAAACAGTAAAAAAAAAAAAACTTACATGTTGGGTTATGGTTCAACAGCCTCAACCTCAAAAGTTAGAATTTTGATTGAATAATTTATAGATTTTAACAAAAGAAATTCAATGCAAATGTTTCAATTTATTACAAATTTTGTCTCATCTGCACAGTTTAATTTTTTTCCCTCCCAGTTTTTATTGTCATTACACTGTAACAAGTACAGAGCAAAATTAACTCTCTGCATTTAACCCATCCCCTTGGGGAGCAGTGGTCTGCCATTGTGCGGCATCTGGGGAGCAGTGTGGGGTTAAGGGTCTTTGCTCATGGACCCAGAGTTGCAGTCTGTGGGAGTGGGGCTAGAACTCAGAACCTCAGGATTCCAAGCTCTATGCCCTAACCACTAGGCTGCCACTCCCACCAAGACTCAAATGCATACCCACATACAGCCCTAACGATATCTTGATTAAATCCCATAGGAATTAGCTGAGAATCTGCACTTGCTTTCTTGCCATCTTCAAGCCACTTTTTCTGGAGCTTTTCATCTAAGACTATGAATACTTAACTGTTTGAAACATTTAATATCTGCATTTTTAACATAGCTTTCATTCGTTTGATTTTATTTAGTTTTTTTGCTGCGTTTTCTTTCTGTTCTTTTAATTTCCTGAAAGCGCTTTGGATTCAATTTTGTACAAGTGGTGAAGCATCAAAGAACTTGTCTTGGCTTGCTAAGCACACATTTGAAAAAAAAGGAAGAAGGGCTTTTAAATAAATAAAGCAGATTAACATAAAAAAGTTTTAGAATGGTGTCAACCTCAACTCTATTGAAAAATAACAGACTGTTCCTGAAAGTCTGTGGCAGGAAGCCGACTTTAAGAAAAATGTTCTATCTTCAAATCATGATTCATGATTCTTTTGAAACTTGCTATATGACATGTATCCACCTATTAATATAGCTTATTATTGGCCCAGACTTTGTTAAAAGCCCACAATCATGATGACATTGGAGGCAATGATGAGTACCTGTAAATCCACACAGAGTAGTTCATGGCTGTGAGGCGGAAAATAATTAATGTTTTTTTCAGCAAATTTTACAAATGAAAGTATAAAAAGTGTGGCAAGTGTTTGTATTTAACCCCTGAAAAAAATCCAGTTTACTAATGAAGTCACCTTGTAACTGAATAATTTCCGTATAAATCCAGCTGTTCAGTGTTAAATATGAACATTAATGAACAAACAGGATCATGAAAACTAAGAAACACATCATCTAGGCTGGAGAAGGAGTTATGGAGATAATGGGAAGCCATCAGGAAAAATGAATACATACATGTTGCCTCATAAGTCACACTCTCTAGCTTTGAAGTTACTTTTTTCTTTTTTTTTTTTTTTTTTTTTACTTTATGGATAAATGCAAATGCAAAACATGATAATATACCAAAACTATTTAATAAGTAAAGAAAGAAAAACAAACTTACAGCAGCTATTGAAAACAAAATAGCTGAGTGGAAACACAATGTACAGTTGGGCCCACCTGCAGTATAAGCAACATCTGGGTGACAGAGGGGGGAACACGGGCCCGCGGTCGAGACAAGGCGTCCTCCAACTTTACGCTCAGGACTATGGTGTTCCTGAATTTAAGCAAGGCCAGCTGTCTGACAGAGGGCTCCTTACCCTGCAAGACACGAGAGAGGTGGAGACCACAATAAGCATCGGAGAAAAAAAAAAAGGATTCACTGGAAGAGATTCTGGCAAAAGATAAAGAAGAAGGAAAATCTAAACAAGCAGATTCTTTCAGAGTTTGTGCACCTGGACTGGGTGAAAGATGGCCTGCAGCATGGAGAGAACATCACAGAAGAAGAAGTCCCAGGTCTCTGCCAGAGAGTCGAGTAACTTCTGACCTACACAGATCACACATAAAAACAAATGCCTTGCAGCTTTTATCTCCATTCAGTTTTCCCCCAGTTGGTCCTATTTCTACAACAAATGTTAGTGCATTTTATTTTTAATTTATGGAGTAGACCACTGCAAAAATAGTGCATGGCTGTTAAGGAGAGGGAAACCTGGGTTTCACCATAGAAAATAAAAACAGAAGAAGGATCTTTGTTGAAGACATTTGTATTTTGCAGAGTTAAACTTTTTTGAACCACATTTTCACTGTAATTCCAGCCACATGTCTTGGTGGGGTATGCATTAACTAAAATCTGGAGGGTAACATGTTTGCACACTATTCTCAGCAATATTGCTAAAGCTCATATGCTTAGAGCTACACCAGTTTATGGCAGCTTCAGCTGAAGGTTTGGGGTTCTTTTGTACAGTGAATCTACACTGAGGTCTCAAATATTTAGCAGCCTTTCATAAACTCCATAAACTCCAGCTTGCTTGTCTCTGCTGAAGAAAGCATCCCAACAACATGATGCTGCCATCACCGTGCTATCAAAACCACAACTTGGTCCTACCTTCATAGTATCTTATTTTGTCCCGAAGAATGACCATTCCTTTTGTCAGAAGCTGATTCTGTAAAAAGTCAACAGCAGTAACAATTCAAATGTAATAAATGCTGCCCTTGTTGGTTAATTTGTAGATTAATGTTTTTCTTATGAAACAAATGAAAAAAGAATGAAAAGTACGTTACCTGAAGATATTCTGAGAAGAAAGATCCCAGCTCAGTTTTCAAAAGGTGCCTGGGAAAAAAAACCCACATATGATTATCGTCTAAACATAAACGGATCATACATAGACTGAATAATGAAGGAGGAAAACGTAACTGGGATCCACTAATTAACCAAGTTGAATAACGTAACTGCAATATTTCCCAGTAAAACACAACAACATCCAGGAAAACAGCCTGTTTTCCTGAATATTATGCTTCGATCCGTCTGTGTGGTCACAGAAAATGGGCCTACGTCGTTGTGGCTTTTTCCCGGAAATATTTTCAGTCGGCTAACGCTGAGGCAGATAGACGCGATGGGTCTGCCTCGGAGAGATAATGAGATATCTGGCCTGACCACATAGCTCCTCAGTCCCACTCATACATCACACACAAACAAGGTCATTCAGAAGAAAACATTCAGTCAGCAGCAGAAGTTGGACAGATAGTAATTACACAGATTAGAGAAAATGACATCAAGATTTGAAAATAAAGCAGCTGGAACTTTAATGTGGAGGAAATATGGGTCTTCTGTTGATTTCTGAACCTACCGGACGCCTTCATTCAGGGTGTAGAGTTCATTATCGGCCAATCCCTTCTTCTGGAAGACTGCTATGACAGCGTTGTGGATGCTGCAACACAAATATAAAATGCAGATCACTGAGGCTCTAAATCCAGCATATTATCTGTCTAGGCTGTATCAGGTATACCTGTTCCAGGTAGCGTTGGCGCCAGCCCTCTTCTGCTTCTCCCCTCTGTCCTCTGGTGAACTTTTCTCACTCTTACCGAGCTCACTGAGGCTTGGAGAGCTCATCAACTTCAGCCGGTGCAGAGTCCTCATGAGGGAAATATTAAGAGAGGACAGGGGACAGACGAGAAAGAAGGTCAGGCAATGAGCCGACATATGCAAAGGAAACACGAGGAGACGACTGCAGGGCAGAGGAGAGATCAATCGGAGGGAGAAAAAAGGAAAAACAAAGAGCAGTCGGTGACAGCGGAGGAGGCGAGAAGTAGGACAGAGTGGTGCATGGTGAGACTCAGGCAACAAGCTAAGAGCAGGATGGGTGGAGCCCAGCAGGGAGGTGAAGCATAGCGTCGCTGCACTGCCGGATCTCTCAGAACAGCGAAAAAAAACAATAGCACACGCACCGCTGGGGGCATTCTCTTCCTCCCTTCCCGCCTCCCTGTCAGTACAATACTGCCATTGATGCAAACGAATATTTATGCAGAGCACAGATGCCAGAAGAGCTGCAGGGTAAGCAGACCTAAAGCAGTTGCTGTGCTTGTGACTGCACTGAGGGGAAGAGAAGGAAGCCGTATGGTTTATTGACAACAGCGGAAAAAAGGGACAGGAAGCAGCGGCACGATGCAAGACAATGACGAAGGTTTTCCTGCTTCACATCCACAGCTGGATGCAGCGTTGCAAATTTGTTTAATCAAACCTTTCTGGTTTTGGATGTTCTCTCTCAGAGGAAAATGAGTCATAAATGCAATGCAAATATCCATATTAATGATTTTCTTTTTTTCTCCATCTCATTCATGTAAGCTCACAGCAACTCGTGTGTGTTCTCATAAACCGTACCTCACAAAAGTGAAGGTATTCTGGGAAAAAACTTAAAGTAGCTCTTTATACAGCCTGACCTATGCAATCTAGAGCCCATAAAAAAAACACTGTCTGACTACACAAAGTAGACAAAAATATCTGAAAAACAACAAACGAATCATGCCCTGATCTAATGTAATTCAAGAAAATATGAGAAACTATGTCACCCACAGTTTCCAATTGTGGGACAATAAAGGCATTTACATTTAGTCTGGGAAAAGTTATAAAGTCATATCCAATTAACCATGCTGAGAACCATTACCCAAGAACAGAGAAAACATGGAACAGTGACAAATCTTCTGAAAAGGAGTTAGGCAACCAAAATTACTCCACGGTCGGCAGCATCAAAAAAATCATCCAGTCAGAATAATAAAAAAAAGAGAACAACATCTAGTGCATTGCAGCTATCAGAGTTCAGGTCAGGGCAGAGTTCATGACTCAAACGTAAGAAAAAGTTTGGGTAATAACTGCACCAATGGAACACTTCCAAACCGTCCTGCCTCATATCTGCAACCAAAACCTCAGAAGGTAAACAACATCCTTATGATCCCCAAGACTGTTTGAAAGGAAGAGGACATTCTGGGAGGTGAGCATCCTGTTGCAACTGCTTTAGAACAAAAAGAACTTGAGAAATAGCATCATATTTACAATAAAACATAGTAATAAGATGGACTGGGAATGCTGTGCTTCTTCAGGACATTAACTTCTGGATGTAATCGATGAAACCATGAAGTCTGTTCTAAAGAATCCTGAAGGAGACTAGCTGGCCATAGGTGTGGGACCTTAACCTCAGATACCCTTGGCATCTGCAGCACACAAAAAAAAAAAAAACTAAATTCACTTTTTGCAGTATTCTAATCTTTTTTGGGATTTATTTCTAATTGGGATCCTGAAGTACAGCCTTTAACACATTATTGGTATTCAGAACCAACAAAAAGAGTCGAAATTAAAAAGATCCAGGCTGAATTTCTTCCACAGCAAAAAGAGTAATTTCAAATTTTATTAAATTTTTTAAATGCCCAATTGCTGTCCAAGTCTACTGCAACCAGTATTTTTTTAGAGAGCTTTTTTGTACTTTTTCGGGGTATTTGTATTGTATTAAAATCTCTTTTATGATTAGAAACATTTAAGTTTTACAAATACTGTATACAACACTGTAGAAAAGAGTAAGGGGAAGAGTACCGGTACTGATTTTTTTCCAGCAGTGTAGTAAATAGAGATTTTCTTAGTCTAACTTCATCTCAGTTTATATAACATTTCTTGGAGGAAGACAGCTGAAATTTGTTAGAGAACATTCTGGAATATGGTGGTGGCTTCACCAAGCAGGAAGAATACAGGGCATCCTAGAATAAAACCTGCTAGAAGCTGCAAAGCCTTGAGAATGTATGCAGACATCTAGAATATTATATATCTACATTAAACATAATATTATCACCACCTATTAGACCAACCATAGTATTATAGAGTTTTTAAAGAATTTGTTAGACATATAAATAGCATTTTTATTAAATAGATTAAAAATATCTGCATAAAAACTACAGGAGAGTAATCAGACCCTCAGAGAAAAAGTGGAACAGAGTGTCCACTAGGGTGAGAACTGCCACAAATATCTCTTTATCTGCTTGGCTGAGTCATTGCTCTTCCTCTCTATATGGGACATCCCCTTCAGGACACATGGTTCTCTCAATCCAAATTTATTTCAGGAGCCCAATGTAGCCTGATTGTAATTTTTAGCCCCTACTTTTGTGCTGTTTTTAAAAAAATGTCCTCTATAGAAGATTACGATTGAAAACATTAAGAGGGAAAAAAAAACAATATTGGATATTTTAAAATAACTGGCGATTTAAAAAAAAAAAAAAAGCCCTCTGAAAAAAATAAAAAGGACTCGATGAGTTCAAACCCGCACAACCCGAAAACAACAGACACTCATTCACTCCCACGTAAACACAACCACAAAAAAACATGAAAAGCAAGACCAGAAAACTGCTGAGGTGAACACAAGAACCAGGTCACTCAAGCATCCCCAACATGAGACCATGATCACCAGACAAGTGTGTGTTGCAAGAAAATGTTCAGCTGTATAAGGAAACCATCCAGGACTGGAAAACAATCTTCATTCTAATAAATATTTCATGCATTTCCTCCCTGCATGGTGCAAAACGTTCACACTAGACAGGAACTGAGCCTTACCTCCTGAATGGATGCTCGGTGCTGCTGCTGTCCATGTCCGGGCTCGGGGGTGGGACCGAGAAGGTGCTGAAGTTGAGGGAGAGGGGTCTGGGGGAGGACCGGGAGGCTTGCCTCCGCCGGAGTCCGTCAAGCATCTGAAAAGAGAGGAAGATGGAGGGAAAATGGTGGAAAGAAAGTGGTTGTTAAGGTTGCTGGAAAGAAACTAAAGCAAACAAGCAGAATGGTTTGAAGTGGATAAAATAGCTGAACTGAAGCCCCTCTCCAGCCACTGTGACAAGACTCTTACTGTAGATGCATAACCGTTCTTCTACAAATATGAGTTTCTATGAGAGGTGAAGCTTGAATCTGGAACTTTTATACATTTGTTGCTTTAGTTGTTTTATTTGCATTGGGACCCTTTTTAACCGATCTTTCCTCAGTTTGAAGGGTTGTTCACATAATTTTTGTCCTTCGTAGCTGACCGCTCACACTCTTTCTGAACACTGTGAAAATAATCTCCCTCGAAATGAATATTTTCGTTTTCACACCTCATATCAGAGCTCTTCAGGCCCACCATACGGGCCAGCTGGGCTGATTTGCTCTACAAAAAAGAAGACATTTAGTGTCAAAATAGGCCGGCCAGTAACCTGATGTTTGTACGACCTTTAACCATTTGGGTTATTTGTGTTTCGATGCAGTGGTGTGTCAGTGTGCATGTTTGAGGGTCACAGTCCAGGCAAGTTTCTGGTTTCTTTAAATGTGTTTTTTAACTTAGGTTGTTACTGATATATGTTGTGAATTTAATTATAATGGACACATTTGGAATAAATTTACAAAAAAAATCCCAGTTACATTAAAAATTTCTTTTTAAATAATGTATGATGGCAAAATATGAACCAACAGAAACATTAGAACGGCTGTTTATCCATTTCTCTGCTGTTCGATATTAACTATCAGGAACTGCGCAATTGAATAACTATAGGATATAAGCGATATAAAGCGATTGTTACTTAAAAGGGAACAGGAGGAAGAAACATTTGACTTTGTTCTTTTCTTTCTTTTTTTGTTGCTTTTACTGAAGTTGTTCTTTCAGTTTCCTTGCTTTCAGTTAGTGTTCATCAGATTGTTTGGCAATCCTCCATCTGGCTTTACTGGAATAACGCATTACATCAGCTTACAAAAAGGGAACCTGCATGTGTGTACATGCATGGCTGAGTAAATGGGTGAACGGTTCCTGTAAAGGTTTTTTTTACAGTTAACACTGCATCTGGGTGTCTCCCCCTGTAGCTCCTCACAGCACAGCACCACCCGCTGGTCAGAGGGGGGAATTACAGTCTGGCATGTCACTTTATAAGACAAAGGATTTTCAGGGGGGAAAAAAATGAATAGTTGTTAAAAAAGAGAAAGATGTTGATTATGCATGTCTGTGCTGTAAAGTTCTGATGATTTGATATGATCAAAATCGGATCTGAGTGAGGAAAAAAACATTGTCTGGCAGAAATGCCAAGCCACGCCAGTCTGGACATTTCTGCTTTTGTTCTCCCCTCCTCCTTGTCTGCGACTACAGTCTTACATCCGATCGATGCTGCTTTTTAATTTCTAATCGACCCTCATTCCTTTTCCCCCTCCAACTAGTTGATTTACAGCCTTTCCCCTACATTAGATGGCAAATCGATCGGAGCAGACGCGCAATCAACAGTCCACGTTTCCCCTGCAAAGGGAGTAACGCACAGCCAGCCGTGCGTACGTGGAGCTTTTCAATTCATTTTTTCTCTTTCTTTACCTGTAGAGAGAAAAACGTTACAGTATTGGAAAGCGCACGATTATAAACACATAGTTTAAAAGGTAATAAGAGGTAAAAACAAAGTTGGCGTGTGTGAAATGCGCCTCCCCCCTGCAGCCCTGAGCTCACCGTTCCTGATCCCGTCGTGCGGCTCCCGGTGGGATGAAGCGGTCATACAGGGAGCTCCGGCCGTCCGGGGATCATCAGCGGCAGGCTCCTCTGGCTTCTCCACAGCCCTGGGAGCGGGCGTTAGGCTGCAGGATGAAGGGTCCGACCGACCTCTCATTCATGGAGGCAGGAACCGCCGCTCGCTCTCTGGTTTCGGCTCGCCCCCGCTTTGTTTTGATGAGATGCAAAAAAAAAAAAAAAAAAAGCAGGAACCTAAGCGGTTACGAGCATGCACATGAACGCGCGTTGTGGTTAATATTATTATCGTAATGGCTGTTTGCAAGCGAGAAAAAACCGCATGGTTTCAATAGAAGCGCACTAGATCAGAAGGCTGCTTGTTACGTGTGGCAAAGTTTGATGTGATACTGCAAAAAACAAAGAGCAGAGGGGACGCATAACAGGGCGAAATAGAAATATTTAATTGTGTTAAAGTTGGGTTATTTACAGGGGCGGAGCTAGAAGGGGGGCCAGGGGTGGCCATGGCTACTATGCCTGGTTATCCATTCAAGAAAGACACCAAAGTTCCTTTAACTGATGTTTGCCGTGGTCTTGTAGCTTGCTTTACACCAGATGTACACCGTAGAACTGATGAAACATACAGAGCATAAACACAATATTAGTTTACTTGCTGCAACTTATACAAAATATACAATTAAAGAAGCTAAAATAATAAACATACCACTTTGGCCTGCTAGTGGACAAACCGTAAGCTAGAAAACACTTGTCTTTCTTCTTAATTGCTCTTGCAGAGTCTGTTTGCATCACTTATTGCCTAGCTTGACGAAAAACTGGAAGTGGCGTCATCGTATAGGGCTCAGGATCCACGTTGCATTGTGGGACGTCGCAGCCATACTGACTGCTACGCAAACGTAAACATAGCTCTGACACAACGTTGTTGTTGAAAGAAGAGACAGAAGTAGAGAGAGAAAAGATGTTAAAATCCCGAAAAGGATCTGGAATTTACCGGGACACATTAAATAGAGAAGCCAGGGACCAGTATGTTGACAAAATCAGCATTATTAATCATTTGGATCCATATGAAGTTCCAAACAATGAGTGGAGCACCGATGAGTGAGCGCCTATACTTCAAAACAGTTCCGAAGCTACAAGTCCTTGGAGTCTCATATGCAGTTCATGAATGGATGGGTTCAGGAGCTGCAGATCATAAAGCCAGCAAACAGTGGGAACACAGTAATCCGTACGAAGGTAAGCTGTGATCAGACGGGCTCTGGAACCTGCTAGTTTAGCAACTGCTAACTGCTAGTGCTAACAACCACTCACGCATGTAATGTACTTTTAACTAGCTGCTATGTGTTTCAAAGGTGTAGTTAGTAACGTTAACTGCCAACCCTCCGGGTTTCTCACGTATTTGAGCCTTTTCCCGCTGCCGTTTTTATTGTTTTCCCGTAAAAGATCCCAACTTTGAAGGAAAGAAACAAAGTAGGCTATAAAATAAAACCGTGCATCTTTAACTTACCAGAATGAAAATGCAGGGAACACACTCTCAATGACATTGGAATACTGTGGAAAGTTATGTTCGGTCGTCTTACAGCCGCGATCCAAGCTAGCCGACGACTCTTTATCTCTGACGCTTGGTCTCCATGGTTACGCCTCCAGTCAGGAAAGCGGTGGAAAGTAAACCCATTTTCTATGTTTTTCCCATGGCGATCATGTGTTGAGCTGTTACAGCCCACAATACAGCAACGGTTTACCATGGTTGAAATCAAGTTAAGGTGAAATTAATCAAATTAAAACACGGCTGTGAGGGAGTACAGTACGCGGTAGTCATAGGCAGTAGTCTGAGCCGCGGTAAAAGACGCATTCAACATGGCGGCGAGGCGAAGTGCTTACGTCATGACGACCAAGCCCTATTCTTAAACTTAACTTATCAACTTTTCACCGTCATGAGTTACTCAAAAAATAAATGTCAGTCCTTCTTTACTCTTATAGCTAATAAAAAACTTAGAATAAAAAGAAAAACAGAGAACTTAAAAATAAAAGCTTTTAAAATTAACTTCCTTATGGCATCAGATGCCACAGCTACATCTGGTGGTGAAAACGTGAACTACAATTACCACCATTGCCACCCTTAGCCAATCATTGGCCACCCCTGTTGCCACCCCAAACATTTTTTCAATCTAAAGCCGTGCGTACACTGAGCGATTTTCGAAGCGATTTTGTGTGAGCAGGTAGATCGCATGAGAGCGTCGGGCCGGACATAAATAGCGAGCTGTGAGCTCACACTGTACGACTAAACCCCACGTTTAGTCATACAGTGTTAGCAGTAGCTGCGTGCAGCAATTGAAAAAATCGCACAGTGTACGCCCAGCTTAATACAGATGGTAGCAGCAGTAATACTCTCAAGGGGAAAGTTTAAACTTATTAAACATTTAAATTTTTCATATATTAACCATTACTTTATAGCAGAAACACTGTGGTTAATCAGGCACATCAATATACTAACATTAAAGGTGATAAATACAGAATTCACGCTCTTTTCAGAACCAAATTGTGTGTTATTTGGGGTAAAGAGAAAATTATGTCTCTGTAAGTCATCCAAGAGTCTTCAGTGAAATTATAGATAAATGAACTACTTTAATAATACCTAAAAAAATATTTTGATGTGAATATTATTTAAATATTATTTTTTTTGCAGAATGATTATTGATAAAAGCAGGTAATCAAGCATCAACGTTAAGTGTTAATTCACATAAATACCTAATAGTTTTCAAAAACATATAAGGAATAATCAGATGTGTATGGGTGATTTAAGAAATGTTTTACAAAGTGTGCATGCATAGTTTTGCATCAGAACACCAGCATATTTAGAAATGCAAATAAGCTACAGATGTAAAAGGCATGTTTGTAGAGTGGTGCAAGAGAAAGAACTCCATAATCCTGTCTTTTTTTTTAAAATATGTGTAGAGCATGATAAAATAAATCCAGTACCTCCTTTGCACCAGGCAGAGGGTTTTAATGGTTTGCCAATGCAAGCTGCCGCACATCTAAGGACTAAAAAAATGGCCCACATGACAACACCTTTCAGTAAACTCTGGCCCTTCCCCCATCCAACAAGATAAATGATTAATATTATGGGACATATTATAACCACTCAGTGGCACAAATGAAATTTATGAAAAACTGACATAGGCCCAGTGTTGCATATACAGTTTTGTAGATATAATTTGACCTCTTGCATGTATACCAATGTATAGGTAAATTTTTCATATTGCTTTGAATTATTTTCTTGCTTTTGATAATGTCTTCATATTTTATGAGTTTACACTTTAAGATCCCTTTATAATGCTTTACATTTTGTACGTATAAATGCTATTATAAGGCACTCTATTTAAGGATCAGAATCTTTAAAAAAAAAAAAAAAAAATTTATAAAAATTTATTGTTTATTTTTTGGCTAATTCGTAGTCATTTTTGTGTTTTTGTTTTTTTTTTATCTAAAGAATTACGAATACTCTAGAAAGAGGAGGGAGATTTCAATCCAAAACTTCAAAGTCACCTCGAATTTGTTAATTCAAAACTCCTCAAGCTTAACTTTAACTGTGTCCATTTTATTTTTATAATCAAAATTCCCTAGATAACAATAGTTAAGAAATGTATTATTCTCAGTCATTTTAATAACGTGTTATTTGTTATTAATATGCAAAAATATTTCGAAGTCCCTCTGGTTGGATTGTGGACACTTTCCTTTCCAGTAGTCATGAAGGCAACACGAATAAGCTCTTCCCACCGGTAGTACGAGCGGGAAGTTCACACAGCGGCTTCCGTAGAGCTGTAAATTAGTAAAATATTTTCGCGTTTCTTCATCATAAAAATAGTTTGGAAGAGCTTAAACAGGTGAGTTCACGCTTTAAAGGTTTATAGTTGTTTTTAACCGGGTTTGAACGTGGTTAGAAGCCATATTAGGTTACTTCTTTCTTCGCTTCTCTACCAATTATTTATCTTTCATACTTGTTTAATAAGCTGTTTAACAGCAGAAAGTGGTTCTATGCAGTGTTTGCTGTTTTTAGACTCAGTACTGAGGAGGTCGAAAGGATTCGACAAGAAAGATCAATAAATATTTGCTTTCATAAGTATTTTAATCAGTGAAAAAAAGGATATAAAAAGGTTTAAAAAAATTATTATGCATATTAGATTATAATTATATATTAAAAAGTAACATAAAGGAACTGGACTGAGCTAAGAGCTTTGATTCAAGATGATTTTTGTGATATACCAGTTATTTAATGGCACCTATAAACCATAAAATCACTAAAAGTACCCAGGATGGTGATTTTAACATATACTGAGCTCAACTTATAGTTTATTTTGTTTCATGTTTAATTATGTACGTGTTTTATAAACTACTGACAGATTTTTATTTGTTTATTTCCAGTTTTACTGTAATTATGACATGTAAGCACTTCTAGTATTTAACTATTTTAGGACCACAGCCATGAGCACGGAGGAGAAAGATGTCCCTGCATCATCCAGGTGCTTTGGACAGGTAAGTGCAGAGAAGATCCTTCTTTATTAAGTAACGTAACTTTTATGTTAAACGGTTTTATCGCATTGTTGTAGAAAAATAATGCTGTTCGTTTGGACAGAAACTTGGTTTGATTGAAGTTCTGTGTTTGTATATTTATTCCCAAAAATCTCTGCTCAGTTATGAAGAGGAATGACTTCAATTAATATTTTTTAAGCTATTTAAAGTTTGTTTGCTGCCCTAAAAAGGCTGGAAAATGTATTTCATTTCCAACAAAAAAAAAACAACAAAGATTTTCCCTTTAGACAGCAATCTAATTTTACCTACCGTAAAAGTATGAAGTTTGTTTTTCAGAAACTGAAAATGATGTGCTGCATCACAACTTGACTTTTTACATTTGACCCCTCAGTAGTTCAGTTTTTCTTTTCTTTTTTACGGTTGACTGAATTCATTTTAAAACCCTATTGAAATGACTTAATGTTATTGATCTCTGCCCCTGGACAGTGCACCTACACAGCTGAGGAGTATCAGGCGGTTCAAAAAGCTCTGCAACAGAGGCTGGGACCCGAGTACATTAGTACCAGAATGGCTGGAGGAGGACAAAAGGTAAAATCAGTTGTATCAAACCATGAGTTTGGATCTGTTTAAGCTCTCATGTGCACGCTGGAAATCTTTTTCTTTGGGCTTACATGAACCTTTCTCCTACTTTGGGCAGGTTTGTTACATTGAAGGGCATCGCGTCATTAGCCTGGCCAATGAGATGTTTGGCTACAACGGATGGTCTCACTCCATCTCCCAGCAAAATGTTGGTAAGAAGACCCATGGAGTCCACATCACATCCAAAAGCCGTTTATTATATGTCTTTTTAACAAGGCTGATTTTGTCATTATAACAATCAACATTCAGTTAAATGAAAGATTTTTAAAGTATTATAATAGGATGTTTGATTGAAAATAAATTTTCCTTTATTTTCAGACTTTGTGGATCTCATCAATGGGAAGTTTTACGTTGGAGTCAGTGCGTTTGTCAAAGTGCAGCTGAAGGTTTGGACAATTACTCCTTACTTTTCATCTTTTATTAGATTCATAAAATCTTCATTACTGCTTTTGAAATTTTCACATTTTGTTACATTAGAACCAATGTATACTTTTAGATTTCTTCTATATATGTGAAACGCTTTTTTCTTGTTTTTTTTTATTATTCTTTACAGAATGAAATCTGAAAAATCTTGTGCTTTTTGCCCCCCTTGACTCTGAAACCATAAAATAAACTGCACTGCACCTAACTGTCTTCACATTAAGTAAGCTATACTGAATTAAACAGTCCTATGATGAATTGAATCTAAATGTAAATTCCTTTTTTAGCCTCTAAGGTTTGTCAGAACATTAGCGGACAAAAAACATCATGAAGGAACACAGCATGGTTTGTTTGTGTAACTCACCCCAAATATATCATTTTTATTTCAAGTGTAGAAATTGTTCTATAAAGCTCTGTTTTATTATCTAAAATTAGAATGACAGATAACCTTTATCAAATATGCCAGAACTGGTGTGTTTTTTTTTTTTTTTTTAAAGAGCAACGGGCAAATACTGGTGAGGCTATGTGGCAAAGGAATCTACAGATTTTTATTTGTTCGAATGTTAAAAACTAAGCATCGCTTTTCTCTCACTTTATCAACTATTTTGCATGAAATCCCAATGAAAGATTTTTCTATTTTCTGGTTAACATGGCAAAATGTAAGTGGTGTAAAATCTCCTGCAACACCTTGAAAAAATTTCCAGTAATCCCATTCAGCTCAAATGAGAGCAACATAAATATATAAAAGTAAAACCCTTTTCTTTCAGGACGGGTCTTATCATGAGGATGTGGGGTACGGAGTAAGCGAGGGTCTGAAGTCCAAAGCTCTGTCTCTGGAAAAGGCGAGAAAGGAGGCTGTTACAGATGGGATGAAGAGAGCATTGAAGTAAAGGAACTTAGTCTGTTTTTTTGTTTTGTTTTTTTAAACATATGCTTGAATTAGGAAAAAGAAAAATCTAAATCTTTATTTGTCACATGGAGATGTTTTGGAAATGTTCTTGGAAACTGCATCCTGGATAAAGAGTACCTCCTTGCCATTAACAAGATTCCCAAACAGGTGAGACGCTTAAGAAAACCTGAAGCTTTGTGAGAATGTTGTAGTAAAACTGATCCCTGCCTCTTCTACTCAGCCTCGACCTGAGCTGAACCCAGCACAGACTAAACGCTCTGAGGGCCAGCCGTCTATAGAAAAAGCACGGTTCTGCAGTCTGGTCAGAGATCAAAATCCAACGAGTGTAGCAGAACCTGCCAGGATACCCCTGGAACCCCGAGTCTTCAATCAGAACCCCTCAGAGGTCCACGCCTCCAGTGCAGCTGGCTCTGCACCCAACATAAAGAGTGAAAACATCCACTCCAAGTAAACCCTCCACCCGCACACTCTCTCATCCTTGCAGCGACTCTTCCCCACTGATTGTCACCGTCTACCCCCTAAGATCAACTGAGGACGCAGCGCCCGACCCAAACACAGACCCCAAGCATCTGAGAAAGCTCCGGCAGCAGCAGCTGCAGGAGAAGTTCAGGAGGGAAATGGAGGCCAAGAGGCTGCAGCAGCAACAGGAAGAATCCAAGTCTGAGGAGGTGGAGGTTGCAATCGGACGGAGATCGTCCGCAGGTAGGTTTGAGGGACCAGTTCTAACTAAAGTGTGGAGGAAAATGTATAGATTTAGTTCACACATTTAATCTGATGTTTGCCTATGCTACAGTTAGAATTGTTTAAACACATTTGTTAGTTTGCCTAACTTATCTAAAACTGTACAATATAAAGGTAAATCACTTTAATATTCATGCTAAATAAATGCATTATTAAATACCTTCTATGTGAACACATTGGTTGGACGAGCTTGATCACATTGGAGCAGAAGTGCTATGATGCTATGACGGAACACCAAGCATGTTATTTAAAAAAAAAAAGACACTTTTCCTTTCTTTAAATTTTTGTTTATTTAAAGAGCATCAGAATTAAAGATGATTAAGAAAATCACTAATTATTCTTAAACGATGGCATGTGTCTCCTTTTTTTCTGCTGGGTCTCTGCTCCTCAGGTGAGGAGCTCAGATCTGCGTTTGTGGACAACACATCTGAAAACAAGTCAAGCAACAGGAACTCATGCTTAGCAGGTATGTCTGTTTAACTAACTAACCAGGGCGTGATTAAAACAAATGTCACAGAACAGTAGTTTAAGCTGATTAAAATCCCTTTGTCACGGGAACATTGATGAGCAACTATTTTCTTTAATCTTGCTTTGCGATTGAATGTGGGGTCATGATCAAAGTAGTTCTGTATGAATGTAAAATTACACCCTTTAAAATGATCCAGATCTTAATCATTAAAACATGGAGGGCAATAAAAGGGAACCCTTTCCTGAAACTCAACTGAATCATAAAGTACTTCAAAACAAACATGTGTCAGTGGTTTGTGTTTTTGTCCACAGATGATCCTGAGCTTTGGGATTTCACCTTGGATGGGATGGAGGAGCTGGACGCCCCCACAGGAACCAGGCCCAGAACACCGGGGAACCATCAAATGCTGACGCGCAGTAAGACGCCTCAGAGAGCTTCAGAGCGAAGCCCTGAGGCGCCGTCCACCAGCAGAACGCACCCTCACTACAGACCCCAACACCACAGCAACCAACAGGGCAGACCTGGTGAGATTTTCTCACTATTTGAGCCTCTAAATGTGTATTTTTTTAAATATTTTTTTGATCAACTTTTACTTCTCTGAATTTCAGGTGAAGCCCTCAGTCCATATCGACAAGGACAGCAGCTGAAGAAACGCAGGCTGGATGCATGAGTCTACTCTGCTTTTAAATCACCGCACTTTGTTTATATAATACAGTTTGAATTTACTAGGTTTGCAATTTTGTACAAAGTTCAAATAAAATGTGTTTAAATCTTTCAAATGAATGAGGAGATGACAGAAAACCTTGTATTTGATATTTTTATTTGTTTTTACATTTTGTACAATGTGGAAAAACGTACACAAAACAGACAAAATCACAGGAAGTCAGAAGGGATCAGATGAGTATAACTGTGTGCCGAGGGCCTTAAACACGACTGTACGGAGGGGGTCTGGTAACTGTAATAGCACATGGACATTAACCTTTGTGAGCTTGTGCTGTGCAGTGGTCGGATTGAAAATGGTTGTTCTTTAGAGGAATTAACACCCAGTGAAGTTAGCATGCTGATAATCTGAGGCAGAAGTTGCGCCTGTGATATCGACAACCCGTCAGGAAAGCAAATAAAGAAAAATACTTATTCCAATATCAAAAAACGTCGAAGTTAACACTTCATCAGCATGCAAATGTTTCCAACACCCCTCGTTCCCTATAAAACTTTAAACATTGCATATTCTGCATTGCAGGAAGTCATTTTTTTCTCTAGAGAAGTTAAACAATTTGATCTACAAGCAGGCGAAAGAGTCACAACAACAGCATGGCACTGCTGCAAGGTGGTGAGACAGCAGCTGAGTCAGCAGGACTTTTGAACCTTTGAACAGCCCACTCTCCACTTAAAACACGTGCTTCTATAAAGTTTAGTAATAAATTCACAGAAAAAAAAATGTCAGCATAAATTCATGTTCCCACGAGGCAAGTAGAAATACACAGCTGATTACACAACCAACACGAATGTAAATGTAGAGAGAAGAATGCACTGTTTAACTGTGCTCTTGGTTCTGCATCTGTTTCGGCGTTGCATGCTCTGAACCAACTGGCTGTTTACTTCAGGTACTGGTTGAGCTTGCAGGGATTGGGTGAGTCTGGAACTGATCGTTAGTGAGGATGCAAGGCACTAAAGTGTTCCTCGTGTTTTACGGGTAAAGAGTGCACGAAGAAGTGGGTCACCACAAGCATACGTCTGTGACTGAGAATGAAGTGAAAGCGTTTTTACCTCACTTTAGGATATTTACAAGAACAAAACAAAAAAACAAAATAGAAAATGAGTGCAGGGCGGTCATAGAAGAGCTTAACAAACAGCAGGTTTCACTCCTGCATGGTTGAGTAGGATATTAACTGCAACCACCCTGCAATTGCACTTTTTAATATTTCTTTACATGTTGTTTAACAACCTTTAATAATAATTACAGTGAAACAACATCAAAATCTGATGGCTGAATACAGGTCCATAAAGAACGTTTTGTTGTATTAAATATACGTTTACAAAAACAGACCACAGACAGAGAAAAAGCCCAGACATTTTGGGATGCTGGGGGTCACAGTTAAATGTTATGGGTACAGGGATCTTTGCGGTTAACCCGTTTAATTGTTTTCCATACTTTCATCAAACCTGTCCACACAAAAGTCCTTAAATACTAACCCAATAATATTAATTTGGGTATGATAGGTGTAATATCAGCAAAAAAACTCAGCTGAAATGAAAGAAGTAATTTCATGTTTGTGTGTGGGCGTTTTAAGGAGCGTTGCCTTGTCAGTTGAACTAATGGTGATCAACACCAGGACACGGTTCTCACATGTTGATGTGGATCTGGATGAAAGAAAACTTAAACCACAATGACACCAGACTCCCACAGAGACAGAAATACGTTAAACATAGCATCATAACCCAATGAATTCCTCCCTATGTACAAAGCCAATGTTTCCATGTGTTTTGGGATTAAGGCCACGTTTATAAGGGACTGTTTATCTACTTCATTATTGCATTTTACTCAGTAGTCTCTGGGATCTACTCATACTGCAGCCCTATCGGGTTCCCTGCCTAACTTACTAAGTCTTTCTTCTAACTCTACAGAGTTATTTGACCTTCCACTCTTATTTCACACCTTTTGTACACTCACCTCGCTCTAACCTGCTTAAGCAACTTTACTTTCCATCTCCAGGTTCCTGTTCAGTCTGATGTGTAAAAGCTCCACCATCTTTAGTCCCAGCTTTGTCTATAGTCCAGATTAGTAAGGATATGTGTCACAATCCCTCCTCTTGTTCTCCCCTCAAAGGAATGATGATGTTGCAGCATCTTACTGTTCAAAAGACACCTGTGGCCGCTTTTGGTTATGCCTTTAGTGTGCGTTTCTTTTCCGCACACAGCCACCTGACTCGTCACAGCTTGCTTCCACAGCTAATGGCAGGCTAAGAGTGACGCTTTTGTGCTGTGGAGGTGTATTGCACTCTCCCACCAGTTGTCGGACACACTCAAAATCTACCTGAGAGGACCTGAACCACACAGGTCGCTCTTTAACAGAAGTAATAGACAACATTAAAACGATGAAATAAAAAAGCACAATACAAACAGTGGGCAGAATGCAAGGAGAGGCTGACCCCTCTGCTCTGTGTGGCCCTTCCTTTCAGCTTAGGGTGGGGCCCAGGCTGGGCTACGTAGGCCTTGGATTGGTCCCTCCATGGCTGACAGACGTCTGGTTGGTCTGAGGTGTTCCCGTTTGGTAGCCTTGATGCATGGAGACCGATACTGTTGTAGGGGGCTGGTACTGCTTTAGTGGCTGTGTGGGGTTATGCATGCTGACCTGGCAGGTGCCTGTGGGGCCTGCCCACTGAGAAGCACCGTAGGGGGCTGAGGCATATCCAAAGCCCTGCACAACTGGACCCAGGGAGCCTTTACGAGGACCCAGAGGGGCTGTGGGATTGCCTGGGTTGGGAAGATGCGTGCTGGTGGTTGTACAGTTTGCGGGTGCGTGATGCGCAGAACCTAGGTGTCCTGGAGCCGAAAATTTACGGCCCATATTCGCTGGAGGGATAATCTGCAGAAATCAAAAGGGAAAAATTTTGAAATACAGCCAAAAGACACATTTAAACGAATAGCTCAGGAGATTAGCAGTCAATGTCTTAGTGGAAAACTCTCAAGGCTTCTCCATTCAGCATTTATATAGATTATCTGGTAGTGCAGGTTGGAGCTATAGGCCAGTCAGATTAAAGCACACTTCGATATCATTAAATATCAGAGTAATTTATGAATTGGATCTGGTGCTTTAAAAAGAAGCCAATGAATTTTACACAGGAAATGAAAGTAACAAGCGGTTCATTACTGCAGGTGTTCCAATGAGAACCATGTCCAAACCTAAGTGGCTTACAGGTTCCTGAAATGCTATTCACCCTATAACCTTTAAAGACTGACTTCAGCCTCCAGGACCAACTAATCTAGATTAATTACAGAGGAGGACATTAAAATATTGATTTACTCCAGATGACATATGAACAACTTTTAAATATCCTAAACCGATTCTTAAATAGAAAACCTTATTCTCTAACAATATTCTTAAGGCTTACATCAAGTCCAACAGGTGTGGGTGTTCCAGTTTTAGGCCCTTTCTTTGCATCTCTGGCAAAGTTATCTACAAGTTGGTGCATGTCATCAGAGAAGGTGCTCTTGGTCTTCTGGGTCTGGGATGCAGAGGAAGCAGGGATGTTCTGGCAGAGGCTTGATCCGTTTGAGGAGCTGGTTTCACATGATCCTGGAAATATATTGAAAATGGGTGAGCTGTGAAGTACATTTGGGTTACCAAATGCTGAGGTTAAACATACCAGTAGAACCACTGAGGCTTGGCAGGGATGGAGAGGATGTAAGTGGTTGTAGAGATGTTGTGCTAGCTGCACTCTCCGAGGCTCCAGCTGCAGAGGGCATACTCTGCTTCAGAGGAGACTCTGATCCATGACTCTGACCTGAGGATTAAGCACAGCAAGGCCTAAACATTAAGTAAACACACAAATACATCACTGTGGTTTTAATATAAACAGAAACAATCAGTATTCTGTCCCAACCTGAATGAATGGGACTGGGCTGTCCACTACTGCGAGATCTGTGGCTTTTGCGCCTACGCCGACCTCCACCTAGAGCCTGAGCAGGGGAGACAACATAAGGAGGGGGAGCTTTTCCCATCTTGGAGTACAGGGCCTCTATTTCTTCTTTCTGACGGCTCTGTAAGTTACGAATCTCTATCATGTGTCTGCAAAAGAAAAAGGCGGATACTGGTTTGTTCTTTGAATGTTTGAAACTGAGGTGATGTAAAACTTGACGTTTGGTGGATATTTTTGACACACTTTTCTCTGAGGCGACTTATTTCTTTCTGAAGGGCTTCATCGTCTGTTTCAGAGTCCGCCTCATTATCACTGCTGTTAGGGCGTTGTTGGTTTTGAGGGTCAGAGGTTGAGGATGATGGTCCATTCAGCTTATTACAGCGCTCTAGTGAACTAGATCTTGCTGCTGGAGCTTTGGTCACTGTAAAAATAAAATAAAAAATACAGCGATGCAGGGTTAGAGATGACATGGATGTCATGAATTTAAAAAGAAAATAATTTTTCATTTTGTCTTTAGAGGTTTGAAGATGGACTTGAATTTGTAAACCAGAGACTTGATATTTGGGAAAAACTTGACCTCTCTCTAACATTCACTAGTAATGGAGATTAATCCAATTGATTTGTGGCCTTTCAGCTATTTTTTTAGCTGTATGTTCGTAAATAAAAACATAAAATAAAAAATTGAAAGCAAGGTTTATTTGTTTGTAGGGTTTGTTTTGCAGCTTTTTATTTAGATGTAGACGTCTGGTGCCAACTATAATTTGATATCTGGAGTTATCGATGTGAAGGTTTTAAACCTCAGAACACTGTACCAACTGTTAAGCATGGCAGAGGTAGAATCATTCTGTGGGCCCATTTTATCTACCACTTATTAAATCCTGATTGGTTGAGCCCTTTTCATCATGAGCCCACAAACTTGTGGTCAAATATTTGCGAGGACATTGCTGAAGGCTACAAAAAGCATCAGATTTCTCTAAAACTTGCTGAGATGGCCCAACATTATTTCAAATCTCTGCATCAAATTCTTACTCTTTAAACATTAAGTTATTTTGTTATTCAATGGGATAAATAAAAAATGAACAAGTTTTATGTTCTGTTTTGAGTGGCTGTATGTAAATTAGACACCAGAACATCAGGGTGTCAGAACATTGAGGATGGTTGAATATTTTTTATCAAAGCCAGCTTTTGGAGCTTTGTTTAAAACCTCCTCTTACCTGTGACTACTAATGGCCCCACTGTAGAGCCGGCACTTGTTTTAGATGAGGCATGGTCGCTCTTGGACACTTGAAAGCGTCCAACATTGAAGGTCTGACTAGCAGAACCGGTAGAAACAGTGGGAGCTCCATCAGCTTCACTGGAGTCTTTAGGACGAGGGGATGAACGGTGGAGCGTATTCTCTGGGCTTGAAGGTGTGGAGGAGGATGAGGATGAGGAGGAAGTAGAGGATGGTGTGAGGGATGGAGAAGATATGGCTTTTGGTGGATCTGGAGGAAAGCTGGATGGACCAGAGACCTGCACAACACCAGATAGTTTATGAGCTTTGTAAGAGTTTAGCTGTGTTCACCAAATCTGATTTGCTTTCAGATCCAAAGAGAAACTTACAATAAAACGACCAACTTTGAAATCTGTTCCTGTGGGCTTGACGTCTTCACCGCCCTGACCGTTTTCAGGACTCTGAGCTCTCTTTAACTGGGTATCTGAAATCCCCTGGGGCTGCTGTGACTGTTGGTTTACACAAAGACAACAGAAATGTAAGAAAATAAAAGCAGACAGCAAACAGCATACTGCCACTTTTTACATTTTGAAGCATGGAATGTCCAACACATGGCCCAGATCATAATGTCCATAAAAATGTAAATCTAGACTCTAGAATCTAGACAAGCTAGACTATGACTGGCTGAAGGGTGACCTTTGAGAAGTGTTCTACAATACCTATTAGATTTTCCTATAAAAAAGTCTCATCGTTTTGAAGTATCGCACTAGCTTAATATAACTTTAAGAATAAAACATCTCCATTGATGAGGTGTAATATAACAGCTGAAGCTAATTGAGCGGCAGGTT